TGTCGAAAATACTGCACTGAGAAGGGCCAGCTGCTGCGTAGAGACCCAGGTGTAGTAATGTGTTGTTCTGGGAATAGGAGCACCTGCAAGGGCTCAGGGGCCAGACTCTGTGTTGTTTGTGGAACTCAAAAATAAAACTTATCAGAGGGGACAGCTGAGGGAAATGCCCTCTGGGGAGGGCCCCCAAGTTTTGTGGCTGGGTTTTTCCCCCACTCTGAATCTAGCTTCCGGGATCCACTGATAGTCTTCGGCCAATTTTCCTGAATGACTCAGGAGTTTGAGCAAGCTTTGCCTTATCAGTTTCACTCTGGGGGAGGGGAGGTCAGTTCCTTTCCTGATAACTGGGAAGCAGTCGTTAGATATTGAAGACAGACAACAAGGCCCTAGCTTTAAGTGTGTGTGTGGGGGGAACCTTTCAAGCACTAGCGGTAGCTAACTTGAAGGTTAGCAGTTTGAATCCTACTGTTCAGTGGAAGAAAGGTGGACAATCTCTTCCTGTAAAGATTTACAGTCTCCGAAGCCCTATGGGTTGCCGCGAGGTAGAGTGGACTCATGACAGCAGTGAGTTTGGTGGCTTTGCTTTAAGCACTAGGGAACTGCATTCCCAGAGGAACACGGTTCGAATCCACCAGATGCTCTGCCGGAGAAGGAGGCGCAATATCCTCCTGTACCAGTCAGATCTGATTTGAAGGTACACGCACACAAAATTAAAAAAAAAAAAAAAAGCACTAGGGAGACCTATATTACATGGATCTTTTGGATCTGAGCCTAAGGAGAGAACACAGGATGGTTCACCTTTCTGCCTCTCTTCTCAGTCTTAGTAACATCAGCAATAGCTAATAGTTATGAGGGGACGTGGACCATATGCCTGCAACTGTGTTAGGAGACGACAGTTCTAACCTCAAACTTGGTTGTGTTTATTTTCTCTCTTTGACATGAGGGAGTTGACAAGAGTCAGAGAGGTGAAGTGACTTGCCTGAGCCAGCCAGCCAGCAACTTTACCTCCCCTCCAAAAAGCCCAGGCTGTGAACCTGGAGGAGAACTTGCACATCTTGTGGTGTCGCTGGATGATGCAGTAAGACCTGGGGGAGACTGGTGAGGATCCTAATGAAGATCCCAAGCAAAGGATGGGAAAACAAAGCCTTTCAAAGAAGTCCCTCAGTAGATAGGATTTCTGCCAGGGAGGGATATGATCTTCTAGCCTGCTCCCAGGCTCCTGTCACCTGAGACCCCCTTCTTTGGCCCCCTCCTCTAGCTCAGATAAAGGGCTTATTCACAGGCCTTCCTGGAGCCGGAGCAGGCCTGGAAGCTGGCCCTGGCATCAGTCAGTGGTTTGTCCCTGTTGTGCCTCCCTTCTCAAGCTTGCCTTGCAGGCCCCTCCCTCTGGACACCTGGTATCTCTTTCCTGTGTCCCTGAGACCCGGGCACATGAGGCCCAGGCACAGTATCGCTTTCTTCCTAAGCTGTCCCTGAAGCAGGAACATTTTGTGTACTGCCCGCCCCCACTGTGGGTGCACACTTCCCAGGGCTCTGGAATCCAGGCTCCGGTAAACACCCAAGGAGGAGGAAGTGGGCCAAGTGGCTAGCCTGCGATTGCATCAGGGCTGACGCACTCCCTGCCTCTTCCCCCCAACCCCGGCCTCCTGGGGAGCTCTGTGGTCCAAGGCCACCAGCGGCTTGGGCCCTGTCCCCTTCACTGGGCCTGGAGCGAGTCTAAGGCTGAGTGAGAGAGATGAGGGACTGCAGGGCAGGGTCAGTGACTCTCAAGATGGGTACTTCATGGGCCTAGAAGGAGATCAGCCAACACATTTGAAAGTTGGGAAGAGCTTAAAGGTGGGGTGGCTTGAGGAAAGGCTGGAGAATATTTACAAAACACTTACAGAGTGTGACCCAGGTGCCAAGTCCTCAGAAACAATAATGTAAGTTGCTGTTCATTCGATTCTGACTCCCTGTGAGTTCCCTGTTCGCAGAGTATAATGGCTCTGCAGGGCTTTCAAGGTTATGACCTTTGGGAAGGAGATCCCAGGGCCTGTCTTTTGAGGCACCTCTGGGTGAATTTGAAATCCAACAACCTTCCTGCTAGTAGTATTTGCGCCATACGAGACTCTGAAATAATAATACCTGATTGACGACACATCACAGGAACTCTGAAATGATAATGATCTGATTGACAACACATTTGGCACTAGGTCACAAGCCCTGCCTCTCTCACAAAGTCCCATTTTATTGAGCACTTACTTAGTGTTCTGTGTCTTATGTACATTATCTCTGCATGACCTCGTTGGATTCTAGCAACACTTTTCTGAATTCGTCTAATCATGATTCCAGTTTTACAAATGAGGAAACTGACACTCAGGCTGGGTGAAAGTTAAGACTTATCCAAGGTCATTCAGTTCAGCACTGGAAGGGCCAGGGTTTGAATCTGTCTGTTCTTTGCTTCATCATACTATGCTAGTTAATGCACTCTTCTCCACAGTTTAAGGCAGTTATTATTAGCTTTGTTTTGCAGATGGAGAGACTGTGGCTCAGAAAGGGAGCTGCACTGAAAATGACTTAAAGGAACATCTCAGTAAGCAAGACTCAGTAAGCTTGTAAGAGCTCAGTATGAAGACATCAAAATTAAGAATGGAAAGGCTTGATATTTGTGCTTGTATGACTCCCCAATGCATGCTCATTTCACATAGTTTCCCCCACTGCATTTCTCTGGCAGTGACAGAACCAGAACTGCACCCCCACCCCCAAAGTCAGCTGTGTGTCATGTGGCTGTCTGCTGATCCCACATTTCTTTTGAACTGTCAGCTTTCTGAGGACAGACTCTATTTGAGCATCTCTCTGTACCTATCAGTGCCTGGCACAGAGGAGAGGTGGTTTGAATGAATAAATGGATTCACTGATGACGTGGGATTTGAACCTAGATCTGCTGAAGCCACTTAGACTCCCTCACCCTGCTGTAGGGGCTCTCCACCTAGTAAGTCCTAGTTATAAAGAAGCTGACTGCAAATTGCCAAGACAGTAGGAAAGCTGATTTAGAATCCTTCCCCTCACCTTGCCTTTCTTATTCCAGAAGCTGAAGCGAAGCATGAAAATTCAAATACACCTGCTATGGATCAAACTGTGCCCTACAAAAATATGCAGTTATAATCCCATTTGGGAATGGTGTGGTATGTCTTTGCTATGCTAATGAGACAGGATTAGTGTAAGGCATATTTAAAACCACCCTCTTTAGAGACATCATTGTTGTCACTAGGTGTCACTGAATAATTTTATGGACAACAGAGGGGAACTCCAGTGGCTTAGTAGTTAAGGAATTACGTTGCCACCCCAACAGCAGGCAGATCGAATGCTGCAGTGGCTCCTCTGAAGATAGATGGGCAATCTCTTCCCAGGTAATTTTTAGCTCTGAAAACCCACTGGAGTGTCAGCTATGAGTTGGTTCCAACTTGATGGCACACAACAACAACGTGAGGGAAAAACATTGCCCAGTCTGGTGTCATCCTTACACTCTTTATATCTTTTGAGAAAGAAAAGAGATTAAACGAGCAAATGAGCAGAGGAGTGAGAAAACTCTTCTTAAAAGCCAAAATACATGCAGATCTCTGAGAAACTAGGAAGAAGTTGAAGAGATGAGGGTCTTCTTCCAGAGCTGACAGCTTCCTCTAGCATCCTGACTTTGAACATCTAGGGAATCTGGTGGCTTAGTGGTAAAGAGTGTGCCCTTAGGCGTTTGGTTCAAACCCACCAGCCGCTCCACTTGAGAAAGATGGACAGTCTCCTCCAGTGCATTTTACTGTCTCTGAAAATCTGCTGGAGAGTTAGCTATGAGTTGGTTCTGACTCAATGGCATATAACAACAGCCTCCTAAACTACGAGAGAATGAATTTCTGTTTGTTAAGGCCAACCACTTGTGGTATTTCTGTTACAGCAGCATTAGATAACTAAGACATGTCCTAAATCAGTTTCAACCCTCAAGTCAAGGAATGTAAAAAAAGGTGAGCAGTTGCCATGGTAACCCCAGTGCCAGGTGCCTTGGTGAATACTTAGCTTCTGCAGCATTGGTGGCGGAGGACCTGCCTAGTGCCAGCCCAAGGGTCTGTGTTCTCTGCCTTCAAGGGAGCTTCATTTGATTTGTTCTTCTTAATGAAGACTTCTGCTTTTAATGAGGAATTGCTTCTATTTTCTTCTAAGCGAAAGGGGAGGAGAAAAGCCATTTTTCCTTCCCTTCCCACCCACTCTGAGAGATGTCTGAAAAAGCGCCGGCATTCTCATCAGAAGCTCGGCCGCCGGCGGTCATGAAACCCCATCATCACTTAAATCATGCCTTTTAAAGGTTTGTGAAAACAGCACCAAATTGAATTTCCCCATATCGCTTCTATCTGTTATTTCTGTGGTTTCTCTTCTCTGGTGCTGCATTACTTTGTGAAGAGAAGAGCAGACAGGGGAGTAAGTCTATGTGGAAACTTCAGGTAGGGCTGGGGAACTAAAAATAAGTGTTTCAGAGGATGTTAAATTGTTTTCTGTCTGTCTTTTATTTATTCATGCACTTACATGTTTATTTTTACCCTGGGCCTGTTGAAAAGGATTTGGCTCACAGATTCCCAACTCGATTTAGCTTCAGGCCTTAATCAGGGTTGAGCAGAAAATCTTAAAATCACAGAGATGGAAAGAACCTTAGCAGTCACCTGGCGTGGAAGATATCATCAATAGTTAAAGGTCTCGAAACTGAGGAAGGGGACCCAGAAATGGTTGCCTTGGTCAAACAAGAACATTAGAGAAAAACAATGACCCTGCACTACACTTGGATAGTCTCCTCCAGTGTGATTAACTGCCTCTGAAAACCCTCCAGAGGGTCAGCTACGGGTAGGTTCTGACTTGACAGTACACAACAACAACCACTACACTTCATAAAAGAAATTTTAATAAAAAAAAAAAAAGAAAGTGTGTAATCTCAAAAGAAAAGACAGCACCTTAAAGGGAATATATTTAGTATATGAAAAACTTACCTCTTTCTCCTTATTTTTCTCTTTTCTTCTACTTGTACCAGTCTGATGGTGGACATTTGAGAGCCACTGATCTGCTTTGCTGTTCTTACAAATATTTCTTAGAGATGACGCCATGTATTCGGCTTGGACACCTCTAGTAGCTGGAATGATTCCTGTTGGAGGATTCAAGTTATTACTTCATTCTCGTTGCACTTCCCTTACCTGACCTTTAGGCAGATTCAGTGTTTCTGCCATTTGCATTCTTATTTTCTCTGCAGGTATTAACTCGGTAGTATTCACCTGAGGGTGTTGTAATTTGCTACTGCCCAGCCTCTTTCCCTAACTAGAGCAGACTTGGTTAGGTCTGCAGCCTCAGGATTACCACATGGTACACATTTCTCAAACATTCCTGACTAAAAGAACGATCTGCTGGATTAATCATATCAAGAAATAATGGAAATAATAAGCATGAAAATTTTATCTTCCTAGTCTCTCTTACTCTGAGAATCTGTTGAAACCAGCCCACCATTCTGGCATTTGAAACACCAGTGGTAGAGCTTGCAGTGTCACAGTAACCCACAAGTTACAGTAAACTGACAGGCAAATGTTGTACTAACTAGTTGTGTGCTATCAAGTTGGAACTGACTCATAGATGACCCTCCAGTGGGTTTTCAGAAGCAATAAATTGCACAGGAGGAGTCTGCCCAGTCTCCTGCAAGGCAGTTGGTGCATTCAAACTATGTGCTTTTGGGATTGCAGTGTAGTTTCCTACCACTGTTGTTGCTATTGTTGTTGTTATGTGCTGTCAAGTCAATGTTGACTTCTAGTGTCCCTGTGTACAACATCTCTGTTTCTGCTCTGTCTTGAGCCAATTTTATTGTCTCTGACACACTTACCTTCATTACCCCAATCACTGAGTCAATCCGTCTCATCTAGGATTGTCCTTTCTTGTGCTGTTTCTCAACCTTTCCAAGCATGGTGTCCCTTTCCAAGGACTGGTCCCTTCTTGCAATATGCCCAAAGTATGCCAGGCAGAGCTTCAAAATCCTTGCCTCCAATGAGCAGCCTGGTTTCACACTCTCCAGGTTGGACCTATTTGTGCTTTTAGCAGTCCTTTGTGTGTTCAATACTCCTCTCCAGCACCACAACTCAAAGGCATTGATTCTTCTTCTATCATCCTTGATCATTGTCCAGCTCTCTGATGCATAACAAGTAATTGCAAAGACTATGGCCTGGATCAGGTACACCTTAGTCTCTTTACTTATGTCATTGCTCTTTAGTACCCTGGAGAGGTCCCTGACAGCAGATTTTTCCATTGCAATTCATCTTTTGACTTTCTGGCTGTTGGTACCAAGAGTGGTGATTGTGGAGCCAAGCAAGTTAAAGCTGTGAACAAGCAGCTGGTGGATTCAAACTTTGGAATTGCAGAACAGCTTCTTATCACTAGGCCACCAGAGCTCCCTCTCTTTTTTAAAAAAAAAATTTATTATTAATTTCAAAGAAAATTTACAGAGACTTTGGATTTCCATTCATCCACTGTTGCACTTTTCTCCCCTCCCAATTCTCTCCCCTAGTATACTACCCTCTTGGAAAAGTAAAAGAAAAATTCTTTCACTGTTTTACAAACATTTCCCCAGGTCCACTCCACTAATTCAGCCTTCACTTTGGACTCCTGTCATGACAAAAATACCTAATCATATATCCCTTTAAAAGAGTTTTCTCCCTCATCTGTTTCAATGCAGTATACATTATTGAACCCATCAATATCAATTGAATATCAATATCAACATCAGTTGAACCCATTCAATGCAGCGTAGTATTCCATTGTGTGAATATACCACAGCTTCTCAATCCGTTTGTTT